GCTTCCCTTCTCTATTCCTATGAGTCAATTAAAACAGGATGGAAGATTCCATTACAGATTATTTTTCTCCCAGCTTCTCACTATTTCTCACCTACTCCTTCCTCTGCTTATCCCATCACTGCTGCCAATGACTGCTATGGTAGACAAGGAATACAAGAGGGAAAATATTAACAGACAATAGTAATACACAATACATATAAACAATAGTAATGCAGGGGAAGAGGAGAGATGAGGAGAAAGAAACTAGTAAAGCATATGCAGGAAGGAAAGAGAAATTTCTGCAGCTGTCTGGCTATGGGGACCATTCATATGTAAAGAACGCACATAATCTGGTCAGATTAACTACAAGGTTTTTATCCAACGAGATTTTATGACTAGCTTTTGGTCTTTTTCTTTTTTTCATCAAGTGCAAAAGTTTGTTCTATTACTCAAAAAATCTGATAGATCCTGTGAAAATGCGTTCGGGAAGCCATGAAGGAAGGACTATCATGCACGTACAACTTGTCAAAGCTTGCATAGTCCAGCTGGAAGAAAGGTTTCCCCTTTGTCTAGCAATAGCAAGCTGCCCTCACCAAAAAACAATTCAAGAAATCTGTTCACACTGCTCCTGGGCACTTTAAATTGCCCAAAGGACTATTTGAGCTTTCCTAAATGGTCTCTATTCAGCTACCTCCATCTCATGAATACAAATATGTTTCGGTAATAATTTGCATGTTTTCCCACTGGTTTGAAGCCTTTCCACATAGACAAGCTACTGCTTCTTCAATAACTAAAATCCTATTGGAAAAAATCATCCCTGGGCGCCTGGGTGGCTCAGTTGGTTAAGCGACTGCCTTCGGCTCAGGTCATGATCCTGGAGTCCCTGGATCGAGTCCCGCGTCGGGCTCCCTGCTTGGCAGGGAGCCTGCTTCTCCCTCTGACCCTCCCCCCTCTCATGTGCTCTCTCTCATTCTCTCTCAAATAAATAAATAAATAAAATCTTAAAAAAAAAAAACTCAACTGGCAAAATTTGTGGAAACCCTCCAACTCCCTTGGCCAAAAATATTGCTGATGGTCCTAAATCTCAGATCCAACCCTTTAGAACTCATAAACTTTCACCCTTTGAAATAATTACTGAGTGCTCTATACCTCTAGCTTCCACCTCTTTTGACCTGCACCTAATAAAAGGAGATATATTTCAGTATTGCAAAGGCCGAATTACATCCCCCCAAAATAATCATGCTCTAGTAGGGCAATCTTTTCACAGCACACTCCCAGGAGATGAAGCCCTCCAACACCACACACTGCAACCTGGGGATTTCATTTCTTGGACAAGACATCTCCAAAAAGATTCTCTTAAACCACACTGGAAAGGCCCTTATCAAGTGTTATGGACCATCCTTGGGCCGCTAAACTCCAAGAGTTGACTCCCAGATTCACGTGTCTCATCTAAAGAAAGCTCCAAACCCTGACTGGACCTGCACATCAACTGCTGACCTCAAATTAAAGATTTCCAGGAAATGAAGCATAGGACACTGAAGTAGACAGCTTCCCCAAGATGACAGGATCAGACCCGTATATTCTCTTCTTTTTGCCCTTGGCCTGCAGCCAATGAGAAGCCACCACCACTTCCAACTCTCATTTTCCTCCAATGAACTTTTGTTCAAAATAACCCCTCCCAACTTCCTCCTTTCCTCTATAAAGTGATGCTCTCCTCTGTTCTCTATAGATTTGCCTATGGTTCACCATGGTCTGCTTGTCCGAAATTGCAATTCCTCTGCTATTCTTGAATACACTAGATTTTGCTGGCTGAATCGCTTACCTTTTTCTTTCAGAAAGTTGACGATCCTGTAAAGTTCATTCATAGACACTTGTGTAAACTTGGGGTGCCTACACTAGATATGAATATACCTGTTAAGATCCAAGTTTAACTGAAAACCATTAATTTGGAAGATAAGCATGCCAGATGTTAATCATAGATAGGTGAAATACAATCTGTTTTTGCACCAACACAAGAGATTAAGATACTAAGGGGAGCAATCACCTCGATATTCCTGTATTCACTTTACACAGTGTATCCAGTTTTGTGAATACACTTGTAAGGGTATTTTACAATAATTCTGTATAAGATCACAAAAGATGAAAACATGCAAGTTTCTTGTAGTCCTTTACATTTCTGAAAGTAGTGTTTACATGTTCGGACATGGACATAGATGCATTCACCACCATACAAATGAATATCCATTTTGATATACTTATGCAAATATTCATTTACAAATGCATTTAACAGCACAACAGTTGGGATATATATGATAAAAAGAGTCTGGTTAAACTAATAATGCTATTTGTTAAGTTAGTATTTATTAAATACACATCCAAATTCATATGATTATTAAGGATGAAGCCAGCTAGGATTCATACCCAGGGACTATCTGCTTGCTCACTCTGAACTCACATGAATCACCATAGTGGCAGTTCTTGAACAGGCCTCACAGGAACATTGAAGAGAAGCTAATATGATTGATTAGTATTCAAAACAGGGGGAACAATGCATTTAAAGGGTCAAGTAGTTCTGGTTAAATTGAAAAGGCAGAGAGGCTTGAAGAGTAGCTTTTACATTTTTTAAATTTCTGAACTTCATTTAGGGGATACGCTGAATGTCATAAACACAGTAACAAGTTATAAAAAAAGATCTATCAATTTATATTATTTTGAATAGTTTACATGATAACTTAGTGGAAAGAGATCAGCAAACAAGGACAATCCCTTTTTCTTTAGAATTCCAAATAGCTATTGTTTTTAACTAAAAAGACCTGGGGCAAGGGGCCTACAAAGATCCAGGAGAAGGATTAGATAACAGGGTTAGAAAACAGGGTTTGTCACTGTCAAGTGGTAGGAAAAAAGGTTACCTTCTTTCAAACACTAGTTCAGCTATTAAAGTTACATTTGTACTTTTATTACATTGTTTTCTGTTATAATCTCCTGGAAGGCCGAGCCCTGCCCCCCGCCCCCTTTTTAACTTTTTACTATCTTAAAATCACCCAGTCTTCAGCATAGTATCCTGGATGTTGTATGTTTGTTAAATTATTAACTGAAAGTTAGAATATAATACCAATTATATTGAATGCCTTCTATGTGCTGAGTACTATTCTAGGGACTAAGGATAGAAAAAAGTTATGAAAAAAATGGATGAAAAAAATTTAAAATTCTTGCCTCCATGGAACTCACATTCTAGGGAACAAAATAATATATGCAGCCTAATACATCCATTTAAACATTTATCATGGGATTTTCATGTATGTTAAATGATTTTTTTCTCAGAATGCCCCCTCCCTCAGCCCTATAGCTAGAAACAGACTACTACAGTGAAGCAATTTCCTACTAAGTGGGAACCTCAGAGATGTTAAGTGCTGGTGGTTACAACCACACACAACTTAGAAATGCATAAAAGACAACAGAAAGTTCAATTCCAATATAAATAAATACTATGCTCCTATGATTCTAAATCACATCATGAAGTGGATTTCTCAACAATTCACAATCATTTCCTTAAGATTAATTTCCTTTTAAAACCTAGAGCTCAAAAGAATCAAATATTACATCTAACCATATTAGGTAACCAAAGGGAAAGTAAAACCTAATTGTTACAGTATTCAAAATTCTAAAGATATAATTTAGTAATTCAATAAAGATGAAAACACGCTAAGTGGGTTTCTTCTTTTTTCTCTTTTGAATGACAACCTTGGGATTATGTTAATTAACATGTTGTCAAAGTATTTTCAAAAGCATTATCTCAAGGTTTTATTCATTGTATGGCTTTCAATTATCAATTACTACTTGATTTCACAATGGAAAAACGATCTGTAACTTATATACAACAGATTCAGCATGTATAAGCATCAATCTAGGGGAACGAAAAGGTATCATAGGTACTTCTCAGAGACACTTCCCATCATGCTGTTTTTTCCTGAAGATCCCAGTTAAATTGGCCTTTATAGCTACCAGTTATTTCCGGCCACTGTGCCTTTTCCCTTAGACTCAAAATTTCACTCCTATTCTCCAGCCACTGCAGTACAGAGGTACTCTTTCCAACGCTTAATAACGAATTTTGTTGTTGGCAATTATTAGGAAATTGACAAGATGTAAAAGTAGCAAACGAGAGGACCTGAAGCTACAAATTAAAGATCTCACAATAAAAACTGTCCCTATAATTTATGCAAAAATAGACAAAGATCCGTTAGATCGTCTATTGGTCTTCCTTTCTACTAATTCAATTCTAGTCTTAAAGCCAGACTCCCATTGCATAATCTCTTATTATTCAGTAAGACTATTGCATTTTGGTTTTTCTTATACAATGAAGTTTCTACTCCACAACCTTTCCTATCTCTGAGAGAGAGAGGTCCGTAGATATGGTTAACCTGGCTTTAGGGAAGGTACTCATCTACAACTTAGAATAAACTCCAGTCTATCATTTTACATTCTCATTTTACTTTAAAAATTCTTCAAACGTCATTTATTTTCTGACATCTTCAAAATTACTACCAACAAAATGAACACTCTGTAACAATCAACAATACGAAATGCTTGCTCTGGTGAGAAGGGACTGAGAATTCTTCCTCCAAACGCGGGAAACATCAAGTTTGAAGTTTAACTTCTAAAGAGCGAGATAAAAAGACCTTCAACATTTGCAGAGGGAATTTGGCGGAAAGAAACCCCGTTTTCACTGAGAGGTCGCAAACCACTGGCCCGCGGTAGAGGCAGAAGCGCCCGGTACACTCCCACCCGGGAAAAGTGGCAAGATGCTCCCGGGCTTTCAGGAAACAGCCGTGGAAGGCAGGCCCGGCATCCTCAGCAGAGAGTTATCTCACGTCCGGGCCCGCAAGCTCCGCAGGTTCGTCATAAACACACTAGGCAGAGATAGAAGGGTGGCTGAGGGGACGGATCACACAACTGTCAAACGAAGCCCACCCACCACTTGACCGGTCCCTAAGGCGACAGCCTTCCGGGCGCGGAACACTCACCGGTTGCCTCAGGATTCCGACTACAACTCCCAGGAAGCTGCGCGACTGACGGAGCAGCGTCCTTCCCAGAATGCAACAGAACGGGGACTCCATCCCTCCTCCTTTCTCTGCTCCTCCCACCTTTCCACCCTGCGTCACCCGGGAGAACCGGAGGTAGGGTGCGGGAGGGGACCTCCAGCCCTCGGCGTGCTTCGTCAGACGTTGGGAGGGGGACGGGGCGGGGAGCAGGGGGAGAATGGGAGGACGAAGGGGAGGGGAAAGGGGAGGGGAGGGTAAATAGTGGGCCAGGCAGGAAGATGGCGGCGGTAGCGGAGGTGTGAGTGAACCTGGGTTTCTGCAGCTGGATTTTTCTCTTCCCTTCTTTCCTTTTCCTTCTGTGTTTGAGATTGGCATCGAAGGGGCTGAGTTCGGGTGGTGGCGCCGGGCGCAGCGCAGGGGTCACGGCAACGGCGGCGGCTGACGGCTGGAAAGGCCGGCTTGTCGTCCTTCCCCGGTCCGCTCGGTGTCAGGCGCGGCGGCGGCGGCGGGGGCGCAGCGGCCGGACTTCGTCCCTCCTCCAGCTCCCCCCTGCGCCGGAGCGGCCACTCTTCCCTTCGCCATCCTCCGACCCTTCACCCCGGGTACTGGACGCTTCCTCCGGCGTAGCTCAGGGAGCGGGGGCCGGTCTCCTGCTCGGCTGTCGCGCCTCCATGTCGGATAACCAGAGCTGGAACTCGTCGGGCTCAGAGGAGGATCCGGAGACTGAGTCCGGGCCGCCTGTGGAGCGCTGCGGAGTCCTCAGCAAGGTGAGCAACCCGCGGGTCCGAGGGCCCCCTCCTCAGACTCCACCTGCCGCGAGGCGAGCCGCTGCGGGGATGGGGTGGGGTTGGGCGGGAGTCACGGACTGTCCCGGGGCGGGGGATGCGGAATGTGCCGGGGTGCGGGGCTGAGTACTGCCGCAGGAGTGCCAGGGTTGGGGTGGGGGTGGGGGGGAGAAGGGGACTGTCCTGTTCACTTGCCCTGGGCCCGGGGGTGGCGGCCGAAGACTGGAGAAGACGTGTCCCAACCCCGGATTCGGTTTGGGAGTAGGATGGGCACCGTGACTTGGGACTCGGCGACATCTGTCCCGGGTGTAGGAATCCGGGTTGGGCAACAGCGGTGTGCGAACGACCGGGTATGGGAGCAGTACATATCGGACCTTTTCAAACGAGGTTAGTCCAGAGATGCAGAGCAGGTTTGTAAGATTCTATGGATGCGGCGGTATAGACAGTAGCCGGAGCAACTGGGCATGGTGCGGAAATCTGAGGTGGTAAACTATGCCAAGTTTTGTATAGTGAGAGGTCTCAGTGAGGAGGACTTTTGTACTTTTTCCCCTCATCCTTTTCCCCAGTTCAGAAAAGAGCTAGTGAATCGACACGTGATAGGTACAAGAAATATTCATAGTAACTTGGAACATGTCAGAATAGAGGCCGACCTTTAGTCCAGGAAGAAGAGAACTACTACTAATAAAATATTCTTGCAAAGGGCCAGAGTAAGGAAAACACATCTTAATTTTCCTGAAAATTTAAAAAACGCTTTTTCAAAATTTTAGCAAAGCAGAATAGTAGTAGGACTGTAAGGCTAATTAGTTAAAGTGGATGAGCCCCTTTTTAGGAGAGAAGATGGATGATTTTTTTCTTTTGATAGTACATGGTTTGGGACTTGTTTGTTCGTTTAAAGTTTTTGCTATTAGAAGATCCGCATTGCCTTTTTTACTTGCTTCTCTCTTCCTGTTAAAGTTTTAGAAATGGCCAGTCCCTCAGCAAGCTAGTCATAAGATACAAGATCATGTGCAGCCACTGACTATTAAGAAACCACCCTGCTTCCCGTATACATATTTTGGCTAAGCATTTGGACATTTATTGTGGAATTGTTTCTTATTAGGTTTTTCTGTTATCTTTAGAAAGTGGTGAAAAGGGGGTTAGGTAAGACATGAATGTCAGAATTAAGACTTGCAAGGGTTAACTTTCATTTACATAGCAGAAAAATCATGATGTGTCTTGGTATTGTGATCATTAGAATTGCAGTGAAAGCCTTTCAGTAAAGTGAAGCTCCCTAGGGTTTCTTTAGATTGAATGTGGGTTGTAGTTTAGGAATCTGTATTGAACACATTCTGTAGAAGCTATACATTTTCAGGTGGAATTTCAGGTGTGTTCTTTGCTTCTCAATTCTGGTAGATTCCTCACTTTTCTCATTAAATGAAAGCTGACTTCCAAACTAGTACTCTGGTGGTGGTAAGTATTTTATAAAACAGGCTGAACTTTTGACCTATTTGATACTACTATTTTGGGGGGGCTGAGGGGTGACGGGTGGAAAGAGTCCCCAAAGCTCTCTGAGTATTCACTGTTTGCAGAGCAGTATAGTAGGTATACCGTATGACAAAAAATGGAAAACTATCTCTTTGATATTTAAATGTCGAGAAATGTACTTTCTGATCACTTCTGTGGTAGGTAAATAACTTTGATGTTGCTGCATATGTAGAATCAACAGGAATATAGTTTTTGGTATTTTTGTTAACAGCTATGAAGGCAATTTCTGTGAAATTTAACAATGTATGGTTATAAATAATGATTTCTGGAAGCTTTTTAATCAAGAACATATTATATTGAGGATGTCTGGGTGGCTCAGTGGCTTAAGCGTCTGCATTCAGTTCAGGTCGTGATCCCAAGGTCCTGGGATCGAGCCCTGAGTCGGGCTCCTTGTTCAGTGGGGAGTCTGCTTCTCCCTCTCCCTCTACCTGCCACTCCCCTTGCTTGTGCGTGTGTGTTCTCTCTCTCTCTGTCAAATGAATTTAAAAAAATCTTTTTTTAAAAAAAGAATATTTTATATTGAAAACATGTTTTAAAATTTAAAATACGTATATATTTTGATCCATTTGTATTCACCTGGTAATTTATACAAGAGTTAGAACTCAGCAACTGTTCTTTTCCTTCAATTGAGTAATGTAGATAAGTCTCAATACTAATGTGTTTTGTTTCTTCCCCTCCCAAATGGAATGAATTTGGAATGGCAGGAGGGCATAAACTTATATTAGAAATATACCAGTCCAGAGTTTTTTTTTCTGTATGGTAATTTAAAATACATGGAAATATCTATGAAGCATATTTTCTATGGAATTACTTTTTTTTTTTTTTTTAAGATTTTATTTATTTATTTGAGAGAGAGAGAGCATGAGAGGGTGGAGGGTCAGAGGGAGAAGCAGACTCCCTGCCGAGCAGGGAGCCTGATGCGGGACTCGATCCTGGGACTCCAGGATCATGACCTGAGCTGAAGGCAGTCGCTTAACCAACTGAGCCACCCAGGCGCCCACTTCTTTTTTTTTTTTTTTTTTTTAAGATTTTATTTATTTGAGGGAGAGAGAGAACGAGCATGGGGGAGGGGCAGAGGAAGAAGGAGAAGCAGACTCCCCCCTTGAGCAGGGAGCCTGATGTGGGGCCCAATCCCAGGACCCTGGGATCATGACCTGAGCCGAAGGCAGATGCCTAACCAACTGAGCTACCCAGGCACCCCTATGGAATCACTTCTTAAGCACGTAGGTTCCACAAATACTGGAGAGACAATAATTCTAGTTGGTTATAACAAATATCGGGATGGAAATTGACGGGAAAAGATTCATGCCTTAGTGGGACTTGAGAGAAACTAAGCCTGGATAAAATAAATGTCGTCAAGCTTCTTGTGAATTCTCTCCATCCTTCAAGGTTTACCTTATCTTTTGTTTCTCCACATACCTAACTGTTGAGTGAAATTCTGTCCATCTTTAGAGTTTGGTTTTTTTTAAGATTTTATTTATTTGTTTGAGAGAGAGAGAGGGAGCACGAGCGGGGGGGGGGGGGAAGGGGAGAGGGAGAAGCAGACTCCCTGCTGAGCAGGGAGCCCAATGCGGGGGCTCTATCCCAGGACCCTGGGGTCATGACCTGAGCCATAGGCAGCTGCTTAACCAACTGAGCCACCCAGGAGCCCCCATCTTTAGAGTTTATCTCAAACTCTATTCTTTGCATGAAGCCTTTTCGTATTTTGCCAACCATTTTAGATCTCCTTCCCTTGAGCTCCCATAGTATTTTATTTGTAACTTGTTCTGACTTTTCCTCTAAATGTATTGTTTTCCTCTTGAAATTATGCTCGCTGGACTATTGGGACCATAAATCTTTGATTCTGCTTCTGTGTATAGCATATTGCCTTGTCTCTGTTAGATGGGTAAGAGTGAGGGAATGTTATGAGAAAGGCAAAAATCTGCCTTCTAGGAGAAGCTAACATTTACTAATAAGTAAAGGGTCTTGAAGCTTACCTAATTTATTGGGTCCTCTATAAAAAAAAAACTTAAAAAATGGACACACAATTGCTGGAACCCATTCTGTCACTTTGCAAGAGGTCTGTTCTAGTGAACTGCACTGAAGGTTAAGCTTCATTAGTTCTGCATAACTCTGTCTCCAACTGAGAAAATATTGTGTCCCTGGCAGGGTTGTAAGTCTATTCTTGTTTAATCTTGACAACTTTAAAAGGTAGAGTTTGACAAAGAAACAGAGGATAAGTAACTTGACCACAGTCACAGTTACCAGCCTTCTGAGGGGCAGTAATTGGAAATGAGGTAGGATTAAGGTATACCATTCTAAACAATCTGTATTATAGGCAATGGGGAGTTGTCCATGTAAGTTTTGGAGCTAGTGGTTCAGTGAGATTAATATGTAAGATAAGTAAGCCAATGTGCTTAATAAGTAAATAAGATTGTGCAAGTTATGAAAGAAAATACAAAAGATGCTAGAGGTAAGGTTGTTAAGCCTTCTCAGGAGTCTAGTAACCTGACAGTTTGATTGGACTAATTGAAAATAGAGAAGAGCCAAATTTAAGGGTTTAATATGAAGGAAAGATGAATAGGAGTTGATGACAGGCTGTAAAGATTGACAAGAAACATTATCTCTTATGAATATAGTAGGGGTATTCATGATTTTTTTTCAGCGAATCAAATAACAAGCAAAGAAAGTAAAGCTCGGAAAAGTTAAATAACTTGTCGAAACTCCTTATGTAACTAATAGAGTCTATCTGATTTTATATGCACTACTCTGTCCATACAATACAGGAACACTCAGCCAGGTTTGAATCTGAATTGACTGCAGAAATACCAGTATAGCAAAGGAAATAGGAATATAGGGAAGAAAGTGCACCTTATTGGAGGAGATGAATGTGGTTTTGTATGTAACCATTGTTGTTTCGAGTCAGTGTATAAGTGGTGGTAAGTCATAGGGAGTTAGAAATAAGGAAATGGTGATTAGGGAGCTCATGGGAAAGAATGTGTTAAATTGCCAGCATGGATGAGCTCTCAGTGAAGGGTCGTAATGGTGGGCCTTAGAAGATTTAAGAGCTGAACTGTCTCAAACATGCTGAGTAGGGAATAGAAAAGTAAAGATTTCTCAATGGGTATAGAGCCTGAGCCAATGCGGTATATTTTTGACAGTCCATTTTTAATTAGTTTTTGGCAGATAGTGTTGGAATTAGTTTTTGGAATTATCTATACATACATAAAACCCCCAAAGCATAAAAATATACAAAATCAAGAATTCCCGTAGAGGTTGCATTTCTGGCTTTGCAAGTTTATTGATTGTGATCTGCAGTGTGCAGCAAGACTTTAGCAACACAGAAACCATTTATAGGCACTAGAAACTGATAATTCAAGTGTTTTTGAAAACCAGTTTTTTTTTAATAGTTGTATTATTATTCTTGGATTTAAAAAATAGATCTTCAGAGAAACTTGGAAAATGAGTTAACTGTTTTTAATATGTAGTATTGAGTTCTATGGACAAAAAAGTAAAGTTGATATAGACTTAAAGATTAATATCTAGTATTTTTGCTTGGATGGAGTTATAAATATCATACATGTTCATATAAGAACAACTTAAACAAAAGTAGAATTAGGCCATGATTAGCTTCATACTTCTGTTGATTTGAAAGCTTCATGCAGTACTTGGCGTAGGAGAATGAGAGGCTATAAACCACTTACTTTTCTATTGAATATGTTAATTATGGTAGAGACCAAAACAATCTTAAGTGTCATGAAGCTGGTGAGGAGGGGAGGATGAAGACACACAAAAAAAGCAGATTTTTTTTTTTAAGATTTTATTTATTTATTTGACAGAGAGAGACACAGCGAGAGAGGGAACACAAGTAGGGGGAGTGGGAGACAGAGAAGCAGGCTCCCTGCTGAGCAGGGAGCCCCATGTGGGACTCGATCCCAGCACTCTGGGATCACGACCTGAGCCAAAGGCAGACGCTTAACAATTGCACCACCCAGGTGCCCCAAAAGCAGAATTTTTAACTGAACTCTGCATCAGTTTTATTCCTCAAATGTTAAAAAAAAGAAAATATAGTATTTATAATTTTGTAAAAATTACTGAAAATCATACAATCTAGAAAATCTCAGCTTCTCACTTTTTATAATCATTTATACTGTTTACAATTAAGCTAGAACTTTTCACATTTTGGTTTTAAAATTAGATTGATAGCTGTTTCAGAAAGTTTGGATTTCTAAAATACTGACTTTTATATTTTGTTTTCCTTTTCCCTCCCGCCCCCCCACCCCCTTACCTCCAGTGGACAAACTACATTCATGGGTGGCAGGATCGTTGGGTAGTTTTAAAAAATAATACTCTGAGTTACTACAAATCTGAAGACGAGACAGAGTATGGCTGCAGAGGATCCATCTGTCTTAGCAAGGCTGTCATCACAGTAAGTTCCTCTTCTTCATTCAACAAGTATTTATTGAGCATCACCTGTACCCTAGGAATTGTTCTAGCGGCTTGGATATATCTGTGAATAAGAGAGAAAGATCTTTGCCTTTGTGGAGCATAGAGTCTAATACTTCTTTCCATAAAGTTATTTTATAAAGACAGATACTATTTTTCTAGTTGTTATAGCAAGCCCTTAAGAGATTCAGAAAAAAATTTATTTGAAGACTTCATATCTGATGAGATTAGGACAGTTACGTGGCAGGTTATTGAAGAAGTTAAAGCAGAAAACAAAAATGTATCTTAACATTTAAAAATTTTAACTTAAAATACTTAAATCTGTATTCATTTGCCAGCTTTTTGATATAATGTTAACACCATCTCTTTGAATGTGGAATTGAGAGAAGTTGTTCTTGTAAACTATATCCATAATGCATGATTTGCAATTTCCAGTTTTGATTTCTCTAAAGTGGAATAAAAACTTAAAGATAGTTTTGAAAAACCCAAAGTATAGGTTCTTCTGATTTTTTATGGTTTCCTTAATATTTTACAGATGTCTCATCTTTGTCTAATTCAGTACCTTTTTAAAGAATGACTCACCTTTATTGAGTCATTCTACTTAGTCTGCATTCAACTTAGTTTACATAGAAACAACTCTCTTTTTGCATCCGTATTCCATAGACTTATGTAATATTAATTATGTAAGGACCACATCAGGTAAACTGGCATAAACAGGTTTGGGAACAACCAACTGATTTGTGAAACATAACTCAACCTGTGGGATCAGAAGTGGTTAAATATGCTAAAAATAGCATATAAGTTGAGAATAGTCAGTGTGCCATGGCATATTTAATAAAAGAGCAAAAAAAGATGTTGGGTAAAGCAGGTCAGTTAAGTGGAGGTCAGTTAAGGGTGGTATTGTACTGAAAATCTAGAAATGGGTATGTTAAAACCTAATCATAGATTTTACTGATACATTCAAAGAGAATTCACAGGATAGAAATTACATTGCTTATAAAAGTGAAAAGTATACTTTGAGTCTGTTGATTTCTAAATCTGACTTACATATGTTTATGTTACACATTTGAGGAAAATCTTACTATATTTTGCTCTTATTTTTCATACATTCTACCCCTCATGTATATTCAGAGTTTGAAAACAAACTTAGTTGGATATTGAGTTGGAAAAACTTGCAGAGGAATTGTTTGTAAGTGTTAAGAATGAAACTACTACTCTCCATTCTTGGGAACAATTTTAAAGAAATTTAAATTGAAAGAAATTTTAAAGAAACTTTGAACATAAAAAGCTCAGTATTGACTTGTATGTTGTACATTATATGGTGTATTTTGAAGTTGTGTATAGTTTTGTATTTTGGGGTTTTATTTCCCTTGAGATAGATTATTATGCTAGAGGACAGAATAATGGATGCAAACATGTTTTTAATCTTGAAGTGTCTTTCCTTGATTCTTCCTCTCCTTCCTTTTGCATATTGTCAAATGCTTGTTAGTTATTACACTTGATTCTTTGAAAAGACATTGTTGGCTGATGTGAAAATGGGAGGAATGAAATTTTATCTTTATTGTTTACTAAATATTAGTATTCCTAGAGTACTATGTTAGTTTCTATAGAGTTAAATATAGTTACCCTGTTTTGAGTTATGAACTGAGGTGATAGTGCATGGCTTATTTAAGGAAAAGAAAAAATTTTAATAAACAATTATATTGGGGTGCCTGGGTGGCTCAGTTGTTAAGCGTCTGCCTTCGGCTCAGGTCATGATCCCAGGGTCCTAGGATCGAGTCCCGCATCGGGCTCCCTGCTCCGCGGGAAGCCTGCTTCTCCCTCTCCCACTCCCCCTGCTTGTGTTCCCTCTCTCGCTGTGCCTCTCTCTGTCAAATAAATAAATAAAATCTTAAAAAAAGACCAAACAAACAATTATATTGCATCTGCTCAGAAAAAACAACTTATTTCTTTGTAGTTTTTTTTGTTGTTGTTGTTATACCTATATTTGCATGCAGAACTTTCATTGTGGTACATGGTCAAAGAAATGGGTAGGAAAGTGATACAATTTGAAAGGAGATGAGGAAGGGACCTAGTGGTATTCAGTAAGCTAAGCAGTGATAGAGAAGGTAAAAATATAAATGAGGCAGCAGATTCTGATTGGTAGCCCTCGATAAAGTGAAACAGGTTGTAGGAAGAAACACAAACATTTATATTCCTGAAACCCTTCAACTTTCAGTCTCTTCCTTGCTCTGTGGGTTCAAAGGTTCACTGTTACATATATCAAGGAAATTACAAAATATAACTGAATTCAGTGAACTTTTCACAGTGAAGTTTACAAATAGAACATGCACTTGAGTTAAATTACAGAAATATAATGCTAATCTTCTCTGTTAAATAGGTATCTTTCGCTTTTCTTAAGTATGGCTATTATATGTATCACTTCATCTCGGAAGACAAAAAGTAAATGTCAATGTTGAATTTGCTCACATGGCACCCTTATAAAATTGACAGTATTCATATGTGAAGAAATCTGGACTTGAAGAATTGTAACCATTAACATATTACTTGTTGGTGAACCTGGTGTCTGAGCCCACCTTTTCTGATAGAACCTAATTCATTGTTAAATTCACTTTTAACTTTAGTTTAACAATTAAGTCATTCTTAATTTATTTTAATCATGTTCTTTGGCTATGTGATGATAAATTGGGTGAAATATTTTCAAAGAATAAAGTGTTTCCTGGGAGAATTTATTATTTGGAAATAATTCTTAATGTAAAGGGATTGTAAGTGAGTGAGTGAGTGAGGAAAAAAACACTACTTCTTCATTTTATGAAAAATAAGCTATCTGTATGTAGAGTAAATATATAAAGAATGTTGAATTTCTGAATTACTATAGTTTGTTATTTGCTTAAGACCTAGTCCATGCTACAAAACTTGCCAAATAGTAGATGTTCAATATATGTTAGTTGTATTTTTTCAATCAAAAGCAGTGTTTTTGGAGTATTTAAACTTTTTTATTTTTTAAAAATCTGTTTTTAAATAAAATACTCATGGTAAAAAAATGTGATCCATGGCATGAAAAGGTTTAAAAAGTAAATGCTTCTCTTTGCTCTTAGTCCTGCATTCAAGAAATAAAAAGTTAAATTTCTGTTTTGTTCTTCCAAATAATTTGAATGCCTAAGAAGCATTTATTTGTTTATATCCTTCATTTTTATTTACACAAATAGCATCATATTAAATCTCTACCTTGTTTTCTTTTAGCATGACTTGGGTGTTAATTACTATATTCTGTTGAATTGTATGGATGTACCATATCTTGTTTATTTGCTCCCTTCCTCTTTTTGGACATTTAGATTATATCTATTTTTTTTATTGCAAATGTTGTGGGAACAAACATTTATTTTAAAATTTGTTAATAGTTACTGTCAAATGACTTATTCAAAAGAGTACCACTTTTCACTCTTACCAGTAATGTATGAGTGCCTATTTTCCCATACCCTCAAGTATCGAGGAAGTTGGGTTTTGGCAGATGTTAAAATATTTGTCAAACTGCTAGATAAAAATAATATCTTAATATTTTAAATTGCATTTTCTATTTATGAGAGTAACTTCATATGTTTATAGGCCGTTTATATTTCTTTTTCCTCTTCCAGTCATTTATTCATTTCTTGTTCTTTCTTTTCTTTCCTTATTGATTTATAGAAGCTCCCGATAACATGGTAATTGGCCATTTGTCATATTTGTTGCAAATACTTTCCACAATTTGTCATTTGTGTATTCTTTCCTTGTTTATAGTCTTTTGTAGCCTTACAGAAATTAAAATTTTTTACTTACTCTTATTGACCTTTTCCTTTATGGCTTCTGCATTTAGTTATGTTTAGATAGTATTTACCACTTAAAAGACTATAATACATAGCTATATTTTCATCTGAAATTTGAATTTTATTCCTATGAGAGTTATTTTAGTCTAAGGAGTGAGGTGGGAATTTAGCTTTTTATTGTTTTCCAAATGACTGTATATTCTAATGCCATTAGTTGAATAATTCAGCTTTTCTCTACTGGCTTGAAATGTCACCTTCATTATATATTACATTCCTGTGTGTGTACTTGGGATTGTTTCTGCTCTCTCATCTGTTCACTTGGTTTGTGTATTCCTCCTCTTTGTAGCATGTTTAAAATTATATTACTAATATTTCATCAACCAACATTTCATGATTCTTTCATGAAGATAAAAGAAGTGATTTCTTTCCATTTATTGAGATAAGATGTTTTGGGAATTAGGTAGGTAGAGATATTTGGTATAATGAAAATAGTAATGTCTTTAGAATTGGTTTGCCTAGGGTCTGTAGTCCCAACTCACCCTAGGTATCTGACTTTGTATACCTGAAACTTTGTAGAACTTCCTTAATTACGAAATGAATGGAATTCCTATTACTCTTGTAGGTTGGCTATAGGGAAATATATCCACAATTTCATGGTTTAATATTTTCAGAGGAAAAACTGCAAGGTAGTGAAAGTGTTCATTGCTGGATTTAAAAAAATTAAAGCCAAATAGTTCTTTGGTAAGTAGGGATTGAAGGAGAAGTTGAAAGATCTTGGGAAAATTAAAGAAGCTAATAGAGATGTAAAAGCAAGGGAAGGAAGTATTCAAATTGAAGAAAACTATAAAACTAAACAAAAAAGTTTTAAAGTGCCAAATAAAGACTAATCAGATCCAAAAAGTTTTTGAAGGTGGAATTACAAAGTAAGAAATTATGATACAGAATAATGTTTAGCAAACTGGATATCACCAAAGATGAGTGGTGTGCCATAAATAATCGTTACACAAGGAACGCTATTAGTGAGAAATTTTAAGAAATTGGCCTTTTATGAAGTATGTAGTTTTGCTATATTGAACTGGTAGAAAGAGGAAGGTATATACAACAAGTAAAAGTACTAGATAAGATATTAGTTGGTAATTCTTATTTGAGGAGCATTCGCCTATGAATTTCTAAAGAAATT